TTTTAACAAAAAAACGAAGTCCAGATGACATGATTCAACCTTTTTTGGAGTTACAAAAAGTTTTTTTCCCTAAAATTTTATAGAGTAACAAGTATTTCTGTTTTTACTTTAATTCCAAGATATTCATATTCATTTCAAAATGTAAAAATAAGCATCTAGATGTGTTTATAAGTTCACCCTCACCTGTGCACACTCAGTGAATAATTGTTTTCAACAATCGTAATTAAATTACTGATCAAAATAACAGTGACCGTGGTTCCTACTGTGAAGCAGCTCGTCTTTATTGAACAATGTGTAAACACCAAAGAACTGATGAGGACACTTGTTACAGTCTTTATGTTCTCGTTTTCGTCTGATGTGGGATTTTATGTGTTCAACAGACCTGAACCTTCTTTTTGTTTTGTGTTGCTGGATTAATTTTATTCTCATCAAATCATCAAATGTTTTCTATAAATAAAAGGTAGCACCAGGACTCATCTACCATGAAGCCATGTGACTGGGATCAATACACCATTCAACACCGTCATGCTGAAATATAAAAGACTTCACTTTTACAGCATTTTGTTGCCTAAGAACAACTTATTTATTAGATGTGTTGCTGCCAATATGCAAAATTACCTTTATTGATGTTTACACGTTTCCATTCATTTCCATTATAGAAAAAAATGTGCATTTATGAATGAAATCATTGCTTTCTGTTTTTATTTGTTTTTTTACACAATGTCCCAACTTTAATTTGGGGAGTAGATACTAGATTATTTACAGTACATCTTTCAAAATGCTGAAAACTTTCTTGCAGAAATGTGAAACATTTGGTTTTAATAACCCTAACATTTTTTGAACATTGTTTTCCTTCAGGATACATGGTGCCAGCCTCAGGGATACCCTCTCCAGAAGCCCTTCACACACCTGGAACCTGAAGATGCCAGAACTGCTGTGGAAATTAACAAACTGGTTTGTATCCCATCCTCAAATGCATGCTCTTAAAACCAGTTGCAACTGGAAAGGCAGTCTTTTTAAGCTACGTGGCTAAATTGTGAGTGAGTGTGTAATGACAGCACAAACCACACAGCCTGTTGATGTATCTGTAGGACAACGCAGTAACAACCAGACACCAGTTTCACACACGTTAGTTACAGAGCCAAGAGAAACAAGTCAAAACACACTAAGTGCAACTAAAAGCATATATACACACACACGTATGTGCATGTGTACCTCTTACATGATGTCATCGGGCAGTGGAAGGAATACTCTCAGACCTTCTCAATCCCACCGGCATGTGTTCCATGGAGGAAGCTGAGTCGGGGGACTTCGGGGTTGGTCTGTCAATAACCGGGGCTGAGGTTGCTGAGGTAGTTAAAAAGCTTCACGACCACAGGGCTCTGGGTGTGGACAAGATCTGCACTGAGTTCCTCAAGGCTCTAGATGTTGCTGTGCTGTCTTGGTCCAGTGCCACTGGACTGGCAGACAGGGGAGTTGGTTCTCTTCTTCAAAAAGGTGGACTGGAGGGTGTTTTCAAATTATAGGGGCATCACTCTCGTTAGCCTCCTCGAGATCTATTCAAGGGTGCTGGAAAAAAGATTCTCATTGATGGTAGAACCTCAAAATCAGGAGAAACAATGTGGGTTCTGTTCAGGCCATGATACACTTGACTAGCTCTTTACCCTCACTAAGGTCCTTGAAGGGGCATGGACGTTCACCCATCCAGTCTACATGTGTTTTCTGGACTTGGAGAATGCATTTGACTGGGTTCCTCAAGCTTCACTGTGGGGTGCTCCTGGAATATGGGGAAGGGTTCTGTTGTTATGGGCCACAGAGTCCCTGTAGAAGCAGAGCAAGAGCTTGATTAACATTCTCTGCACAGCCATGGAGAGTGAGTCCAGCTTGGTGGCCTCAGGGTTCTACTGGCTCTCAGACATTTCACCTCTTCAACTTATTCACATTTGCTCTGTAAGGAGACTGTACACAAACATTTAAAATTAATGTTATGTTCATTTAACTCTGCCAAACCCCCCCCCCCCCCCCACCACCACCCGCCCCCCAGAACTAAACTAAATTAAACTAAACAGAAACAAGCTTATGTTGCGTGTCTTGTGTTTTAGATGCATTGATTCATTCATTTGATGTTTGCTACTGATGATACGTACATACATAATTATATCATTGTCTCTTCATGTCTGATTCTTTTGATCCATTATTGTCTTTTTTGTCATTCCTGTTTCTACAGATCCTGAGGTTTATAGGGGAACTAGACCTGAGCAGCTGGCACGAGCAGATGTTAGGGAATTATATAGTGGAGAAGGGTCAGAACCAGCAAGCCCTACGGGACGAGATCCTGGCCCAGTTGGTTTACTACACATGGGGCAAACAGGATGGTCAGGCCAGTCTGAGGGGGTGGCTTCTGCTGACCTGCTGCCTCAGTGCCTTTACACCGTCACCAACACTGGACAAACCACTGCTGAAGTAAGTTCAGTTACCGTCAAACCCAGACACTGATCTTTGTTTCATTAACCAGAGGTCTGGAGTTTTAAAATGTGACAGGAGCTGAATAAAACATTTGGTCTGATGTATCTGTTTTGGAGGGATAACCGATATAATAAATATACATAAAGTGTTAATTTTCTAAATAATTTCAATAATTCAGCTGTGGCATCAATCCCAGATTATGGAGTACAGTCTCCAACGTGACTAATACACCCACTTCAGCCAGTCATCGTCATACTGGGGGAGACAAGTCGGAGAGTGTCTGTCAGCAAGTGTCTTTGATGAGGTTTGAATTTGTTTAGTTTGACAAATCAACTCTGTTCTGCTGAAAAGCTTCTTCCAACTCAGACAGGAAGCTAAGCTCAAGCCAGTGTTGTCCAGACCCGACCTTGAGAAACTAGTCCACGCCTTTGTCACGACCCGATTGGACTATTGCAACGCACTGTATGCTGGGATCAGCCAGGCCTCCATCTCACGTCTTCAGCTCGTCCAGAATGCTGCTGCTCGGCTTTTAACCGGAACTCGTAGGTCTGAACATATTACTCCAGTTCTGTCCTCCCTTCACTGGCTCCCTGTTCGTACGAGGATAGTCTTTAAAATTCTTCTGTTGACCTTCAAATGCTTAAATGGCCTCGCACCCTTTTACCTCTCTGAGCTTCTGGAACTTTACGTTCCCTTTCAGGCCCTGAGATCATAAGATCAGCTGCTTTTGGCTGAAGCTCAGAGGAGATCGGGCTTTTTCAGTCATGGGCCCAAACTCTGGAACAACCTGCCCCCCAACATCAGGCAGGCCACCTCCCTTCAACCTGCCCCCCATCATCAGGCAGGCCACCTCCCTTCAACCTGCCCCCC